TGAAATTGGCTACAGTGCTATTTTTACAATTTTACTTGTATGTATTCACAAGTTTTAAGTTCAGAATTTTTGTGATGGAATACTGCTTCTTAGTCCCATGGTCCTTGATTCTAGTTCTTGATTATTATTCAGGCATTGTTTGGATCGGTAGATAGGAACACATCTTCAATATTTCATTCGTGAGCTAGAATTGGATATGTATATAACAGTGCTGCCTGCTTGAATTGCATTTGTGTCATGTGCCCATCCAAAGCATTTGCACAGTTGCAGGCAGGGCTGCCTTTGTTGCACTGTGCTGATGGGTGAGAGCCTTTTCATCTGCAAGGAATTTTGGCATCTTTGCTGAACATGTAGGGTTCGTTTGGTTTGTATTTCTGAAAAATTTTTGGGAAATTTTCTCTACAAATAAGTTTTTAAAAGTAATCAAACCAAACAAATTTTTCCAAAAAAATTTCTCAAAACTTGTAAACCAAACAAGTTTTCCAAACAAATCTCTCTCTCACACACATCAAATCAATCACTTTTTCCAAAACTCTCTCTCAAAATAATTTTCCAAAACATCTTTTGGGAAAAACCAAACCAAACAATTTTTCGTACTTTTTATCTCTAAAACACATCTCTCAAACACAAACCAAACATACCCGTAATCATTCTTCTTCCAGCTGCTTAGGTATCCATTCTTGTTCTGAGATTTGCTTCTCAGTTTCTTCTACCTCCTTTACCCAGCTACCACATGCCACAAAAATAATTTCCTTCCAACCATGTCTCTTCCTTCTCTTTTCCTTTACAACAATGAAGGAGCCAGTCAACTGAGTTTCCAAAATTATGAAATAGTGGTTCAGTTGTCATCTGAAAGAAAATGAAAAATGTGCAGTTAATTCAAAGCAAACTCCTGCTTCATCCCAGAGCGGCGCTTAGCACCCCTATATTTTCTTAGCAAAATTTTCTTTGAAGTAGCAATTAATGGAATTTTTTTTATTTTTTTTGCGTCATTATGATATTCTAAATGGTGTTGATCTTTTATTCTCTCTTTGTTCTTTGGTTGTTGCAGTGGTGTATCTTGATGCTGATACAATAGTTGTAAGGAGTGTTGAAGATTTGTTTAAATGTGGGAAATTCTGTGCCAACTTAAAGCACTCAGAGAGGCTTAATTCAGGAGTCCTGGTTATGGAACCATCTCAAACAGTTTTTAATGACATGATGACCGAAGTAAACACTTTGCCTTCTTATACTGGAGGTATGAGATTTGCTTCATGTATATTTGTTGCCTGCCACTTTTTATATGTTATTTATTGTTTATTAATTAATTGTAAAAGTGTTGCATTCTATTATTAGTAAGAGTATTATCTTTCTGAATGTTTACAATGTCAAGTAGATTTTGTGTTACATGGACTTTATAATTTCCCCAAAGTACCCCTGTTCCCCGGATATGACAAGGGTAAAGGTGTGGGACATGTGTCCGACACTAGTACTCAATTTAGACACTTGGATCCTCAAATTTTTTACAATGTTTGAAGAAGCTGAAACTCATATTTGCTAGTAAAACAATATTTCTATCCTCTCATGGATGAAAGATAAAAATTCATTAATTTCCCTTAATCCTATTTAATTTCGATTACATTTCCATATAATTTGCAACATCTTATCTAATAATATTATACAATATTACAATATGCAATATATATACAAGTGTCCATGAGGCATCCCCATACCTATATCCTACTCTTGGGTATATATTAAGACTTAGGTATATGAAGGTCTGACGCTTGGACACGCGCACTCATACCCAAGGCCATGTAACATAGAGAATATTAGGCTAATCCTATTATTAAATAATTAAATTGGTCATTACAAATTACAACATATTCAGAAATTACTTCTATACCAAGGATCTAGGGAACATGGGGTTTTGAGGTTTTGCACAGTAGACATGTGGCTTAAAATAAAACCTGACATCCTTTTTATGTCACAGGAGATCAGGGGTTTCTTAATTCCTACTACGCAGGGTTTGCTAATGCACATGTTTTTGAGCCAGACTTGCCACAGAAAGTACTAGATTCTAGATCAGTTCCTGAGATGGAGAGACTCTCAACTCTATATAATGCAGATGTTGGCCTTTACATGCTTGCAAACAAGGTATGATTCCTTAACTTCAAACAGTACCTGCTATTTGTACTTGATTACCATGGCTAGACTAATATATTTGTAATTTCAGTAAAGTTGAATACCATGCATTTTTGTTTTCCTTTAACATTACCATTAGCTTTCTTTACTATTTGGTAAAGTTGCCTGAATAAATTTATACTTTTAAATCTGAATGTTGCCCGCAACTGCTACCAATGTGGTTTGCAGCCATACCATTACACCATGAATCAAATCGAAGTTTGGTTCATTTGCTGGACCTGCCTTCTGTTTCTTCATCTTGATCACTGGTTGTATTAAAATCCAGTTATGAAGTTGTCTGAGATAGCTCTGGTAGAGGATGCCTTTCATTGTTGCTTTTATGACAATAGTGTTTATGAACTTTCTTATGTTTTGTAATAATAGTAATACTGATTTACCTTTAACAGTGAAGGATGAATTTGACATTCGCTTTGAAGTTGTTTGATTAAATATATTTGGATTTTTCTAGGTCTTATTTTATTTTATTTCTTTCAAAAAATCATCCAATGTGATATTCAATCAAGACTTCATCTTGAATGCTTATGCTAAAATCTGACTTCTGTTCATGTTTGAATATAAAGCTTCAACCCTCAAATATTTTGATTATCATGATGGGTGTATTTCTAATTGTTATTTAAAATGGTTCCCATAAGTCTGAAAATAATTGCTGCAGTCAATATAAGATTGATGACATAGCGTCACAAAAATGAGACTCTGACTGTGTCCTTTGATTTGCATCAAATTTGTTAATTGAACTTTCTAATGTTCTTATACATTAACATGCAGTGGATGGTGGATGAGAAAGAACTTCGTGTTATTCACTATACACTTGGCCCTCTTAAGCCATGGGATTGGTGGACATCTTGGCTTTTAAAACCTGTTGATGTCTGGCAGGTACTTTTTATTTTACTCCATAACAGTTATTCATATGCAGTTTCTTTTCTTTCCAACCAATTACACAATTTCTGCACTCAATCCTTTACTTCTTGCATTCTTTTATGCAGTTGAAGAGGATTCATGCAGCAAATCCACCCCCTAATGATATAAATTTGTTGTTTGCCGATGCTGCAGAATGCTAGGGAACATCTCGAAGAAACCCTTCCTGGAACTGGTGGTGGCAAAAATCCTAAAGATGAAATTCTAGTGAAACTTCTTTTTCTGCTCCCGTTATTTACTTTACTTTTCTGTTACTATCGATCTTTTCTTCAGGTCAGCAATTTCCTTATAATCTCATTCTTTAACACTTGGCAGATATATAATTGCATTTTTGGAGGTGAAATCATTTGATTTTCATGCAGATCCATTCATTTTGCGATCACGTTAGGCAACTTTACTACAAGTTCAGGTCTAGGGGTATTCTTGCTTATTCTGCTGTTTCTTCGTCTACAGTTAATTCTGATCAACAGGTTAGTCTCCAACTTCTAGGAAAAGTGTATGATAGTTATCTATGTTTTTGTCTCCATTCCTTTTTAATAAAATTTATATGGAGATATATTTGCTGTCTCATAGAGTAGCCATTAGTCATGAATCATGATGCTTTCTTTGGGGTGCAAATGGGTGTTAACCCTCCCTAGATTGCTATGTAAAACTTATAAATCATTTGTACATAATATTTTTTTTTTGATGTTTGTTAAAAGTTCTTTGTTTTGATCATAAGCAGTTCCCAAACGGATTGCAGTCCAAGGTGCCTATGTTTTTGGGTGGACTTTCTGTTTTTGTCTGTTTTGTGGCTGCCTTTATATCCCTCGCACTTGCACTACTGATTGTCCCTCGGCAAGTAATGCCATGGACTGGTATGCTTCTGATGTATGAGTGGACATTCATGATCTTCTTCCTATTGTTTAGAAGTTATCTACACTTAATTTATCAGTGGGGAAAGATGAAGGCATATCAAGTGGGATCTGTTTCTTCTCGTCTTGAATCTGTTGATTATGATTCTGGGAAAGGTTGGTTGAGTTTACACATGACTAAGTTTAGTGTACATGGTCATCCTTAATTGATGCCAATTATTTCAACTTTTCTATGGTGATGTGTTTTAGGCCATCAGCGGCAGGTATCTTCTTGCGACATTGCTACATGCTATTATGGGTTAGGAATGGCATTCATGGCTATTGCTGCCCCTTCATTGCCTTGTTTTCTGGGGATCACTGCCCTGTTCTTGAGGTAACTTGCATGACTAGTTTTGTAGTGGCATCACTGTTATGCATTAGGTGGTCACTGATTTGAATAAGAGAAATTCTTTATAGGTTGCGATTTGGAGCATTATTTACTTTATTGCTACTTGTGTTTGCGGGTGTGGCTTCAGTTGCAGTCAAAAGACTCAAAACAATGGGTTTCATTTAGGTTTTCGTGGTCTTGGTGAAAATTATGGAACTTCATATTTACTTGAATACAATCTTTGTAACATGCATCTCAGAACTTTTAATAATCTGCAGTTTAACTGGTCTTATTGGTTGTATGGTTATATCCTATTATTTTTGTAGAAATTTAATGTATAAAGAGAAAAAGAGAATTGTATTATTGATTGATGTTTGTAATTGTTACAAGATTGATAAATTACAATTCCTATACAATCTATATATAGAAGAAAATGTGGTAGTAGGTGTAGTGGAGGTGATAGTGGGTTAGGTGAAGTGGAGTGTGTGGTGAAGTGGAGATAGGTGAAGTGGAGTGTGTAGTGGAGTAGGTGAAGGTAGCTTTAAACTCAGTTTTATTATAAAAACTAGTCATTTCAAGAAGCATAATTAATCATTTATGACAATGAGGATCATATAGTTTAGCTTTGATGCTCTTTGCATTCACTGTTTCTATTGATGTATTATCTCATGTTTTGTACTCAGTACCAGAAGACTCTTGGGATCGACCTATGGAGCACACACTACGAGGTCCCTCTCTCTCTCTCTCTCTCTCTTAAATTAAATTGATCTGTAATTTTGTAGTGAAATTTTTGAATTTGCCAATTAATTTGATGAGTTGTATGTTGATGTGGGTAGAGAATGCAAGGACACTTGAAAAAACTCAAGGAGATCAACAATAAACTAAGGAGAGAGATCGGGTGAGTTAAACCCAATAAAATATTTTTTAAAAAAATAAAAATTTATTATAAATTTTAGTAGATGAACTGAAGGGCTTGTTATTTTCATGAACTACTATTTTAGTTTTATTGGAACAGAACATTTATTGAATTCTAAAGAATGAAGCTAATTAAGCAGAGTATGTGGGTGGCACAGGCAGAGAGTGGGTGGAGAGGACTTGAACGATCTAAGCATCCAGGAACTGTGCGGTCTTGAGCAAAAGATGGCTGCTTCTTTGACTGATGTTCGCCAACGGAAGGTTTGTAGCCTTCAACTAGATCTGAGTTTTACCGTATTTGCCTTTTTTTTTCTTTGATCCACAATAATTTTTTTGTGTAATGTTATCATAATTTTTTTTTTTTTAAACACCAATCACAAAAGTAATAAGATTCATATTATTAAATATATGCGTGACTTATATTTTTGTGTCTAGTACTAAAAAAATTAAGAAATCCTTGATTAGTGATTATTTGTCCTTATTTAACTGTTATAGAAAATGAATTTATTATATTTCTTGATCATTGATAGTGAAAGATCAACATTAACAAAATTTATTTCAATTAAAAAGGACGATTAAGGAGAATTTTAAAATTTATATTGACGTGATAGTTATATTCTAAGGGCATGTTTGATTGGAAGGATTAAAGCATGGGATTAGGATTATTAATCCGTGGGCCCAATCATCCTATGTTTGTTTTGACATTTTGGTTTAGGACTATTAATCCAATGGATAATTAATCCAACAAATTTGTAGGATTATTAGTAATGGGGTAAGGGTGGGATAGTTAATACCACACTAATTTAATAGGATTATTAATACCTCACTATTAGTATTGTGAATCAAACATGACCTAAAAGTACTAATTCACTTGAGAGTGGTGTTATTAGCCCCCCATAAATTATTTTAGACTTTCCATTTATTTGGATCCTCATTTATAAATTTTGAAACCCTTAAAATTTCTCTCTCTAAATAATACCAAAATTATTTTTAAATATTCCACCCATTTAATGCACACTCCCCACACTTACAAAAAAACCTCTCTTTCAAAAAACCTAACAAAACCCATTAAGAAGAAGGAGAGTCCCATCCTTTAAAAAACCCACGGAGAAGAAGAAGGTGTAAAATTTCAACACCCATCCTTTTCAAAACCCATTGTCACAGTTGGTATGCTCTCTTTCTCTCTCTCTCATTGCTTCTTCAAAACTGAAACTATCGAACTTGAAAAAATAAAATTTTGACGAGTGTTAAGAATTTTAACCGTTGAAAGTGTTAATAATTTTTCATATTTGGGCCTGCATTCTCGAACAAATAATCTATGTTAATCTGTTTACGAACAAATAAGTAATGTTCGGGCCTATATTCCCGAACTTGAAAAAATGAAAACTTCTACAAACGTTAATAATTTTGACCGTTCAATGTGTTAAGAAATTTCCATGTTTGGATCTGCATTCCTGAACATTACTTATTTGTTCCGGAACATCTTCACAAACAAATAAGTAATGTTCAGACCTATATTCCCGAACTTGAAAAAATGAAAACTTCTAAAACCGTTAAAAATTTTGACCGTTCAATGTGTTAAGAAATAGTTGTCACTGTTACTACCAGAATATTGCCGTTAAAGGGTTTTCAAAGTTTTGAGGGTGGGTATGTTTTGAAGGTGAAATTTGGGAAAAATGGATGGGTGATAATGAAGGTGGGTGCTCTTATAAAGCCTAATTCATGATGTAGTGAGTGTGCAGGTTTAATTATGGGATGTGATGTCCTAAAATTAATGATGTCCTTTGTAGTAATTTTATTTGAGGTTATTATTATAATAAAAAAAATGCTAAAACTTGGGAGAAATTTTATTTCCACACCTACTTATCTCTGTGTACACACTTAATGATTTATTTTTTCTATTACAATTTTGTCCTAAAATAAAATTACTAAAATGTCCTTATCTTCCCCACCAAAACCCTAATTTCTTAACCCTAACCCTAGCTACAGCCCACCGCTATTGCCACCGCTATTACAGTTTTGGAAATCTGAGTTCATTGCGATCTCTTGATCTCAACACTAACCAATTGAGTGGGAATTTTCCTAATACATTGTTTATATATTTGTTTTCAAGAGCTTTTTACTATTGTTTTCAAGAGCTTTTTATTACAGTTTTGTTTTCACTGTTGAAAAGGCTATTCACAATATGCTATTTTTACTGTTTCACTTCTTCTTCTTCTTCTTCTTCTTATTTATTTATTTATTTATTTTGTTTCCTGTGTGACTATCTCATACATGCACATCTTCATTACTATAAGGAATTCCATTCTCAATGAAAATCATCAAAAAACAAAGGATCTAGTGGTAAATATTCTTTCAATTCAATTTTTTTTTTCATAGTGAGTGAATTTTTGGATTGATTTGTTAATATCTTTATGCTGATGTATTATTTGTTTGCTTGTGTGTCCCAATTCATACATATGTTTCATTTTTGCAGCAAGAAGATTTTTTTTCATCGGGCCATTGCCGGAATGCTTGAAGAACTGCTCTTTACTATAAGAGAATGGACGTTGGTTTAGGGTTTCAATGTTAAAGAGAAGGATAATTTTGGCAAAAAGGGTTGTGCATTGAGTAAATTACAACATTCAAAATTAGTTAGTGTGTGTATTGAGAGAGGATGTGGAGTGAGATATTCGGTGTGTGGAAATAGAATTATCCAAAAGTTAGGGGTCCAAAATAATTTATAGAGTACTAATAACAGCACTCTTCACTTAATTGTTTTATAGTTTCTCTGGACAAAAACTCCCTCTTTTGTTTATTTTCATTTTTTTTTATTTGTTCAAATTATATCCTTCCTAAACTATAACTATGATCTCCCAATTGGGCAGATTCTTTCTCTAATTTTCTAAGTTGGAATTTTCTCCTACCCCAGCATCTCAGTGAACATAGAGTTCTGGCACATCATCTAATTGATGCAATTCTTGCCTACCCTGTTGGAGGTTTTTAGCTCCAGTTGATGGTATCACAGAGGGCTTTATGTTATAATCTTTGCTTTTGACTTGTCATTTAGAGATGTAATCTTAATTTTTTGGAGTATATCTTGTACGGTAGTTTTGCCTTCTCACTATTTGTTTTTTTTTCCCTTTGTTTGGATACTATTGGAAATCAACGAGGAAAAAGAAAATATTGTTTACACTCAGTGGCGGAGTCACAGAATTAAATTTGAGAGATACTTATTAATTATAATTTTTTATTTAAAAAAAATTCATGAGCAACATTAAAATAATAATCATTTTATGAGATAAATTTAAACATAAAAAATTACATATTCATTATTAATAAGAACGAATCAAAATTCTATAATAGTGTGGAATAGTTCGGTGTGAGATGATGATGTAATTTTACAATTTTAGCACAAAAATTATGGATCGAAGTTCTTAATTTTAAAAAATAAAAACACATCACTTGCAGCACAAATTATTAGAGAATCTATTTAATTTTTGTTTGACAGAAAAATATTAAAGAGATGCCATTGCTTATAAATGATGTGTTTTGAATGAAAATTATTAAACAGTCTTAGAGTACCATATGATATTACCTACGTGATGCTCAAAGCATAGAAAATCACAAATTACACTAAGTGGTGTGTCAACTACTTGAAAATAATGAGTTCATTATATCCAATCTATAATATTTTTCGTTACACTATTGATTTAAACTATTACATAAATAATATCACATAGTGTTCTCAAAGTATCTGTTAATTTAATGTATTCGGAAAAAGAGAGAATAAATTGTGTATTCATATATATTGAATCTGTGTTATGGCCTCCGTTATATAGGAGAAAATATGATACAAACATCATCATGATACAAACACCATCATGATACAAACACTATCATGGCCATTATATAAAGTGGCCGAAAGGAAAAGCTTAAAGGAAAATGCCACTAACTATCCTATCTATACATTAATCCATGTACATCATTATATATCATTATATATTATATAATATACATTAACTGCCCCCTTCAAACTCAAGGAGGATATGTACCAACCAACATGAGTTTGGAGAGAGTAACAAAACGGGAAAATAAATAAAAATAGGATAGGAGACACTGTATGGTCGTGTTAAACTGTTGGAGAAGACACTGTATGGTCGTGTTGGACCGTTGTAGCAGACACTGTGTGCTCGTGTCAGACCGTTGTAGAAGAGACTATATGGTTGTGGCAGACCGGTGTAGAAGATACTGTATGGCTCGTGTCGGACCGGTGTAGAAGACATTGTGAAGTCGTGTTGAACCGCTGTAGAAGACACTGTATGGTCATGTCGAACCGTTGTAGAAGACATTGTGTGGTTGTGTTGTACTGTTGTAAAAGACACTGTATGGTCGTGTCGGACCTTAGTAGAAGACACTGTGTGGTCATGTCAGATCGTTGTAGCAGACACTGTGTGGTCGTGTTGGACCGTTGGAAAATACACTGTATGGTCGTGTATATAAGCAGCCCAAAAGATATACATGTATATATATACATGTATAACACGACCATACAAAAGTCGCGCCCAATACAACAAAAGTCGCGCATGAAACTGTGGCTTCGAGTGTCGTGCGATTCACGTGGCTCTCGCTCTCGTTGGTCATCTTAGTCTCTGCATTGTCTATTTAAACCGACGCTGAGGCTGAGGCTGAGGCTAGTTAGAGATTGAAAGCAAACCAAAGCGACGAACTCTGCAACTTCTTTCATCCACTCTGCAACCCCCCTGCTTGTGCTACCTTTGATATGGCCTCCTCTTCCCGTAGTTTGCTCACCCTATTTCCAGACCTAAACGAGTCCACAATAGAGATAACTGGTTCTATTGCTCTTGAATCGCAACCAAACGCCCCTGTTTTTGCTCCGTTGAACTTTCCTATGCTGTCAGTTGAGCAAACAATGGTAGCTCAATCTGATATTGAGGCCAACCATTATACGTTGAAGTCATGTATGGAGACCATGACTACGGTCACTAACTTGTCTCACAGGCTTCATAATAGGACAAGTGAGGTACATCAATTAAATGCCCAACTCTCTCTGCTGCAGCGCATGTACAAGGATGCGCGAGCAGAGATTTGCGCGCTGAAAACAATGAGCTGAAACGGAAGGCCGAAAACAATGAGCTGAAACGGAAGGCCATCGTCATGTTTCGATTTGGAGGTCTGCCATATGCTGCGTTTGAGGAGCAGCGGGGAGGCAACGTGCTCGGTGGACTGGGAAACACTGAGGTAGAGCTGTTAAGGGTCGC